GTGGGGCGCGCACACCTTTTCACTTTTACCACTTGTTTTTAGTATTTGCATAATATTTTCTGTTTTAAGTTTTCCTTTCCTTTTTTTCTTTTTGCTGCTGCTGCTGCCACTGCCACCACCCCAGTGCAGAGTAACATTAAAGGATATGGCTACTTGCAACTTGCTTGGAATTAAATGTGTGTGTGCGCTCCTTTTTTAAAGGCCTTCTAAAACATCCTCTACTCTCCAAACAGTTGGCAAATCTTCTCTTTCAAGGCTTAAGACTACTGTCCATGGAGATGAGTACAATAAGGTCCCAGTTGTGACTGGAGCTCTTTTACTACTATAATGCCAACATTAATATGCCAAATGTGCCTCCAGCTGACTCTAACAACCCCGTAATTTTTAGTGTAAAATAACCAGAAGCAGTCAGGCAAGCATGAAGGACATTGACCCACGTGTGCAAAGGGAGAGAGCAGAGACTATCCTCAGGCCCACTTGGACAGTGTGGTACATGAATGGTGGGATACCTATTTAAGCCCTGGCAAAAGCTGTATCTTTCCTCTGTTGTGGCACTGTAGAAGAGAGATGCCGGCAGTGGGGAAGATGGATCTAAAAGGTCAGGAAATGGGACACGAACCTTGGGAATGATGGGAAAATTCTGACAGAAGGGGCAGGTAAATGCTGACCTGTAGAGTATGAACTTTTGAAGTATGACAAAAGTAGTTTCTGCAACCAGCTTTTGTCAAACTTAGGCAAAGCAGGAAGCAAGTGTGGTTTAGGGAAGCGAGAAGGGTTTCCTTGGAAACTTGGCTCAGTTTGGGATCTCAGCCCACACAACAGTTTGGAGGAGGACTTCCCAGAGCAGGGGATGGTAGGGGGATGCTGAATCTCTGCCTGAAGGCTGGACTTGATGACAGCCTCTAACTCCTGGGCAGAGGATTTCCAGGATGGAATGGAGGGAAGGACCAGCTATGTTGTCTCTTCAGGTGGACAAATTGTTGCTATAGAGCCCCAGAAATGATAACCAGCCCACTAGTAGGAAAGCAGTTGCAGGGAGAGGTAGCAAAAGGGATCTGGCAAGTTGTATGGAACCAAGTCAGCAGCAGAAGAAAGCATTGGGAGCAGCTGGGCAGCTGCTAGGAGGCAGAAGGAATCAGCATGTCTGCACTCAAGCAACCAGCACGCTCTGACACATCACATCACACTTCAGTGCTGGAAACAAGCCAGTGAGGCCACAACTGCTCCCAAGCTTACCAGAGACAGGTTTTGAGAAAGGTGGTGGACCAAAGCTCTGGAGTGGCCTCCTTGGCATACTTCCCAAATTTGGAAATATCTGAGGGAACAGGGTTGGAGCATACAACTGCCATGGTGCACATACCTCCTCTGTGGGTACAGTCCATTGAGCTTTGGCAGAAAGAAGTTGGGTAGGTATTAGGGATAATGTAGGAGTATGGGCAGCCCCCGCTTAATGCTCTTAATTGGTTCTGGAAAAAACAAGCGTTAAGCAGAACAGCGTTAAGTGAAACCCATTTTCCCGTAGGAATTAATGTAAATAAAAATAATTCGTTACCAGGGCACCTAGAAGCAGCGATGTGAGCACCTGGTAGTTCAGGGCCAGCTCAGCCGGTGCTGTGCCCTTGCTGCCGGCCTGGGCCTGGGCCACGGAGGCAGTGCTGTTGGTCCCTTCCGTGCCGGGGGACAGTCATTGCCATAGTCATGGTCCCTCCAGGCTAGCTCCCCCTTCTCCCTGCTGACATAGCCCAGCCTGTCCCCATAGAGACCCTGCTGGCCCTGGCCCTGGGGCACCAGCGCAGGCTCTGCACTCATGCCCACTCGCTGCCACTTGTCTCCCTGCCGTCCGCTGCCGTTTATTTCCCTGCTTTCCCACCTGGCTGCTTGCCTACTCTGGCACCATGTGCCTGAGTGTTGTAATGAAACTCGCTGAGCACTAAGTGGAATCAGGTATGAATATAAAACGAGTGTTATAGTGAAACATTATTAAGCGGGGGTTGCCTGTAGTTATGTTTATACGAGGCTGTGAGTATTTTCCATGCTTCTGGCTTCACTGGCTGCCTCATGCCCCTGCCCCTGCCCCTGCTCTTGCTGGAGCTAAAACCTGAAGGTTTCTGATTAGAGCAGGGGCAGGCAAAACGCGGCCTGCCAGGCCATTCTCTCCAGCCCGCGGGGCTCCTAAAAAATTTAGAAAATTAATAATTATCTGCCCCTGGCTGCCTGTCATGTGGCCCTCAATGGCTTGCCAAAACTCAATAAGTGGCCCACTGCCCGAAATATTTTCTGACCCGGGTCAGAGGGTCGCCCTCCTCTGTCAGGTTGATCCCGTATTTGTGGTTAGTAAGGAATCATGCTGCCCCCCCCCCCCCCCCCCCGGGGCAGGGGGGGTCGGACTGGGGGCGGGGGAGGGATCCTTCCGGCCCCCCCCCCCCTCCCGTGGTCAGGGTGGTACAGACTGAGGGGGTGTGGGGGGGGAGGTTGTCTTCTGCAGCGGGGCCATGACCCTCCTTTGGATGGCTCAAGTGTGTTTTAACCCCCCTTGCAGCAGCACGACACTGGACGCTGCCATCTACCGCCCTGCTTTACGGGTGGCAGGTGAGGGTACAGTTGGGCGCAGCAGAGCTGCCCGTGAGGTTGGTGGTAGTGACTGGGAGAGCGGATCTGTAGGCGGTGGTTTGGAGAGGGATCAACCTGCTTCAGGCAAGGGCTTGGACTAGGTGTCTCCTGCCCCTGGGGCAGGGGCCTGGACTCCATGACCTCCCGAGGCCCCTTGCAGCCCCGTGTCTGAAATCTGGGACCTTCTCTGATCCGTGCGGGCAGAGCTGTGTTTACACGTATCCGGGTTCCTAGAGACTTTGCGCGTTGACTGCCGCTCAGGCGGGGGCTTGGGCCGGGTGCGAAGCTCCTGGCTCGGGGGCGCTGCCTCTGCTCAGTGTCAGCCTTGATGCTCGCTGTATTTGGGGTCAGGATCTCGACCCCATGGTCGGCCGGCCTGGAGGGATGGGGCCTCTTCCTGGGCTCTCCGGAGCACGTGCCGGCCCGGCCAGGTGGCTCAGAGGCAGGACGCGGGCTGCCAGCGCCGAGACCAGGGCTGTGCTGGGACCGGGCGGAGCCTGCTCGCCGCCGGGTCCCCGCAGCCCGACGCGGCGGCGGAGAAGTGACCCGGCGGG